ATCCGAACTGTTTGGCGGTGCCCGGTGCCGCGCAGGTTGGAGCCGGGTCTCCAGGTGGCCGGGACTCTGCGCCTCTGTCCTCCGCGCTGCCCAGCCTCACGCGGGGCCGTGGTCGCCTCGGCCTCTCCGTCCCCCAAGGCCCGGGACCCGCCCTGGTCAGGACTCCCTGCTAACGCCGCTCCTCCTGCAGGGCTCAGAATCGGCAGCACCTCCTCCTTGGCGTCCTCCCGGTTGCCCCCACAAGGTCAGCGCCGCCCTCCTGGCTCCCAGGCAGCCTCCACACCCTTCTCAGCGGCGCTTCTGTCCCCTGTGTGCAGAGCCGGGACCCTGTGCTCCCGACAGGCCCCTGCCCTCCCCTGGGCATCGGCGTCCTGGGTCACTCAGGGTGACAGTGGTGCCCGGGAGCGGCGTGGCCGGGTGGGCTGCCTGGTCGGGCAGCATTCCGTCCCCTGGTCCCTCCTGGGGGCAGGGCGCCCCTCTGGGCACGCGGTCCTCACTCTCATGCCTGTTTTTCTCTCTGCTCTGCTTCCCCGCGGACCTGGCTGCCGGCACCCGGGCCTCCAGACAGAACAGAAGAGGAGAGTAAGTCCTGGCCGGGCGCGGCCCCCAGTGAGACCCTCAGCCGCTCTGCGCGCCAGGGCTCCTTTCTGACATGCTGGGGGCGGGGAGGGCCCGCTGGGACATCGCTGTCAGCTGGGCCGGTGCCCACAGGCGGCCCTGCCCGTCTACCCTCCTGGTCTTTCTCGGGCGATGCGGAGCAGCTGGCATCAAACTCCTGAAATGCTCAGTCAGCTCTGGAAGCCGCTGCAGGACGCCGCAAGCCCGCGTCCCTGAGCAGGACGGGTCACACACCGGCCCTGTCCTTCCAAAGAAGAAGGGGTGGGCGGAGGAAGGACAGGCTGGGAGAGGGAGCCCCGCTCCAGCGGGGCCAGGGCAGGCTGCTTCCCCTGCTCCAGCTCAGGCAGCTCCTGTCCCTCTCGGAGGCCCGGGTCCTCGAGAGACGTCCCGCACGCGGTTGGACACCACAAAGGTCTGCTGCAGGGAGAGGGTGCCGCTTGAAACCACGAATGCACGTGACTTTTGTGAGGAGTGGTTCGGAGCGGCTGACCCAGTTCTACTGCCGAAATCCTAACAGCTCCGTGAGCCACCTGGGCCCCACACTGGCTGCCTCATTTTGGACTTGAAACTTCTTTGAGAGAGAGACTTCTGGACCTTTGGCCGTGGAGCGCCAAGGCTGGCCCCTAGGAATCTGCTCTCGACAGATGTCCTGGGTGTATCTGACGCGCTGCCCCCGGGCACGTGAGAACCGCCAGGGCGCAGGAGGACGTGGCCACCGCAGTGGCCCACTGCCTGGCTTCCTAGGTTTTATCAACACAGCCAAGAGGCTCCTGGGCACTAATCGTGGCTCAGCAGTCGTGCCCAGGCCCACCTGGCCTGCAAAGCCCACGGCGTGTGCTGTCTCTCTGGGCAGTAGCCTGCTGACCTCAGGGCTGCAGCAAGGGCTCTCTGGCTTCAGGGTGAGGTCCTAGGAGCCCGGCTTCCCCGAGGGAGGAGGGTGCTGCCCAGCGCAGCACTGGTCTCCCTTCCCAAGTCCTGGTTCTGGGTGCCCCCACCTGGCCCAGGTGGCTCCAAGCTCAGCTCAGCAGGCAGATAGCCTGGGGTGACCGTCAGTCAGGGGTGCAGTGGGCAGGGGAGAAGCGGTGGGTGTGCCCTTCTCGTCCTCCCACCCTCGATCTGGGGTCCACTTCCCCACTCTGAGTGTGGGTGATGGGGGCCCGGACCCCTCCCCACCGCTTTCCAGTGTTTTGTGGATGTGTTTTGTTTTGTTTCAAAGACACACTGAGGCGCAGTCATATTTTAAAGAGTTTATCTGGGCCAACAATTCCTGTTTGGCGGCTACAGGTCACAGGTGGTTTGGGGGCTCTAGGAAGAAAACAGAAGCGGTTCGAGGGTCTTTTCTAGGGCAAAATGAGTTAACGCAAAGAAAATCACAGGCCGGCACCCCAGTACCGCAGCCTCCTGGGCCCCTGCTGGTGCCCCGGTTCCTCGAGCACAGCGTGTTTGTGGCTTTGTATGGGTTCTGCCCGAGCTCTGCTTTCTGACTCCGGAGCTGGTTTTATTTCCTGGTCTGAAATGCTGGGCGCCAGACCTTTCAGATTTCAGACTTCCGTTCAGATTTTGGAGCAGGTGTTTAGACTTCACAAGTTCAGCGTCTCTAGTCCCCAGACCCGGAAACCTGCGATGCTCAGAATCCCAAACTGGAACCTGCTGGGCCGGGGGTGGGAGCACAGTGGGTTGGATGTCGGGGTTGTGATGCTGATCTGCCGGGGTCCGCAGGGAAGGGCGCGGGTTCAGGGCGGCGCTGGGGGCCGGCGAGGCCCTGGAGGCCCCCTTGGGCTCTGTCCTCTGCGGCTCCTCTAGGCCTGGGCTGCAGAGCACAATAGGAAGTTAGCGAGATTTAGAGGCTGGGCAAGGGGCCGGGGCGTCGTGGGCGGCTGGCGCTGACAGTGATCCTGCCCTCTCGCTTGTTCTGTTCCATGTCGACCCCTCTGGCTGGTGCTGCTGCTCAGTGAGAAGTGAGTTATTTCCCTCCCCGCGGGGAGCTGGATGCTGGGGGGCTGGGGAGGGGTGGGGCTGGAAGGTCGGGACTGTCGGGAGAGGACCCAGGCCTGGGGAGCAGTGGGTACATGCTGCTCCTGCCCCGGAGGAGGCTCAGAAAGTTGGCTTGAGTGGGCACACAGCCCTGGGATGTGAGCCCAGAGTCAGGCGCCCAGGCCAATGTCCAGGAAGGTACCAGGTGCACTCCCAGGAGGGCCAGCTCCGGGGGAGCCAGTGTGGGCCACGGACGGTCCTGCCTGGGGAAGAACTGAGGCGACCAAGGGGCTGGGGTTTTTTGGTACCGGGAATCGAACTCGGGGTCTCAGGCTTGCCAGGTAGGTGCTGTGCCGCTGAGCTATCTCCCCGGCCCTATTTAGGATATTTTGAGACAAGGTCTCAGTATTTGATTCAGGCTTCCTCCTGCCTCAGCCTCCCCAGTGCTGGGAGGACAGGCGTGCGCCACCACGCCCACAGCAGGGAATGCTCCCTACGACCTTCCTAACCTCTGAGCACAACCCCGCAGGGAACCGGGGTCCAGGGTTTCCTCTCTGGAGGGGTCCGTGTGGGGCTGGGGAGTGGTGAAGCGGTGAGCGCTGGCCCTGGGCTCCGGGACTGTAGAAATGATAAAAGCAGGCGGCCTGGGGTGGGGCAGCCCCTCGTGGCCTCCTGGCCCAGGCCTGCGGGCGCCGCAGGGGGCCTCCCCGACCTGCGGAGGTCGGGCAGAGGCAGCGTCCGCAGCGCCCTCTCCTCTCCCATCCATCTCTGGTGCCTGTGCCGCCGCCACCTGGTTCTCCTCCACGCCGCTGCCGCTGCTGCCCGCTGCACAGTCCTGAGACGTGAGTCAACGCTGCACCCTGGCCCGCCTTCGCACCTCCGCCAGGGGCTCCCCCGTGGGGGGCAGGGGCTTTTGGGGGGGGCAGTGGCTCCCGGGACCTCCCGAGGCAAGGACACACGGGCGGTGGGGGGCCCGACGCTCTCCGACGGCTCCAGGCAGCCCCTCGCGAAGCTCAGGTCGGCCCTCCCGACGCTGCAGAGCAGGGCCGGCCCCGCGCTGAGCCAGCTAGGGTCCGGGCTGCGCTCCGGGGCGGGCGGGGTGACGCTGTGTGCGCGCCGTCTCCCGCGGACGGCCCTGACCACCTCCCCACACTGCCCAGAGGCCGCTGGGGTCAACCCACCCCCACGCCCTTCTCAGCCTCCCCAAACCCAGCTGCACCCGCCGAGCACAGCCCTGCCTGCCTGCTGCCCCACGGCACGAGGGCAGACGGACCGCGGCGCCGTCCCACTGCCCCGCTTCTGAGAGCACCCTGTCCTCAGGACCCTGCCCCTTGGCCCTTGCCTGACGGCCCCAGTCCTGGGCGCAGCCCGAGACGGAGACCTGGGGACGGTGGTGTTCAGCCAGGGCCGGGTGGGGAGTGGCTGCCGTGGGGTTTGGAGGTGACGGCTGACAGCTGTGGGGGTTCCTCTGGGGTGACAAAAACGCTCCCGAGTTGACTGTAGCAAGGGCTGCACAGCTGTAAGGTGACCAAAAAACACTGACTTCTACACTGGTAGTGGGGAACCTGTTAGATATGCGAATTATATGTAAATCAAGTTATAATAACGGGCTCTGAGCCGGGCGTAGTGGCGCACGCCTGTAGTCCCAGCACTCGGGAGGCTGAGGCAGGAGGATCGCCGGGAGTTCGAGGCCAGCCTGGGCTACAGAGTGAGCTCAAGGCCAGCCTGAACTGCAGAGTGAGACCCCGTCTCAGAAGCCCGGGCGGGACGGCTGTGCCACCCCCGGGGGAGCTGCGTGGGAGGCCGGCACACAGCAGCGCCCGCGGCGGGGGG